TTTAAATTCTGGATTTTTTTTTTTTTTTTTTTTTTTTTTGTTGGTGGGAAACAAATATGATGAGCTTCATAAAGAATTTTGGGTTTACTTTGCAACCGTCCAATAATGATTGATACCAAGATTCAAATTCCAGTTGTTCTTGGTTGGTTGGATACAACTATCCAATGCAAATACCAAGGTACAAATTCTGGTTTTTCTTTGTTGATGGTCTAACAATATATATCAAAACGTAACGCCTGATTTTTATCAAATAAATTTTACGGTAATATCTCAAATTAATATTTTTGTCTTTACAGAAATTGAAAAAATTCTGGAAATTATTCGACCCCAACACGTTTTGAGGACTTGTTACTTCAGAATAGAATGCCTTCACTTTGAATACTTACGATTTTGACCTCACAACAAACGACAATATCATTTTCGCAATAGAGATTTCATAGGAGGACATTCGTATGATGTAAATCAATTGTTCGGGTAAGTTATTTATACGGTTTAAAGTACTTTTTGAGAACGTAACATTTCACTAATAAAAAAAAAATTTTTTGCCTCAAAAGCCATTTCTAGTTTCGAGAAATGTTCAAGAGAACGTTTGCATTCACTTTGTAAAAATAATCAAAAATAATCAGAACCCCAATAAGTTCGCTTAGATACTATTTACTGTATCCCAACACATAAATAATAGACACTTTCAAGATGCCCGTGAATTTTACCTTCAAAATCTTCAAAGAAAAAGGAGTAATATATCAGAGTTGGAACGTCAATATAGAAGAGCTCTAGAACGTTTAGCCGAAGGATACAAATTATTTGTAATAAGTCTACTCGGGGCGATCTTTACTATCTGCTAATAAGAGTTAAAATAGCCATATATAAGTTCTAAATTCTGAAAACAGTCAATTCTAAAAAAGATCTAAAAAAAGAAGATTGAAACGTTATAAGTTCTAAATTCTGAAAACAGTCAATTCTAAAAAAGATCTAAAAAAGAAGATTGAAACGTTATAAGTTCCAACTCTAAGAATTTTTATTTTTTAATATATATAGTGTATGAATTAATATCTGATATTAACGTTATAGCACTATCGCTATTAAATAGGCGTAAATATCATTTGACTAGCATTAAATGGAGATCGATAAATACAGAAATATGTATTTCTGTATGAGTAGTGATTTGAACCGATCAACTGGCTGAACGGTTGAAAGCTAAGATCAACCGGTTAATCGGGATAATGTGCATCAACCGGTTGATTTACAGCTGTTTTTATAAATTTTTGGGTCATCCAAACATTAGCCAAATGATTTTTTTTTTTACCTTCGCTGGCAAATAGAGAAAATTAGGGTAAAATAATGAATTATACATAGCAACCGCATAAAAATTTTGCAGTCTCGTGATGATATACGCTAAAATTTCATTGGCCAAAACAAAC